ATACAGGAAGCAGACCACATCCCTAAAGCAGCTACTCAGCTGCTTGTGGTAGAGCCCACCATAGAGGTGATTGCCAGTCTCATCATGGGGAATAACTTCCACCAGCTACCCAGTCACTCGACCAGGCCCAACCAAGTTGACACACCACTTTAACTACCATACCATCACAAGCTTCCCAGCTACTAGAGACCAGACTGGGGGAAGACAAAAAGTACATTGAGTCAGATGAAAATGAACTTCTGAAACAAATAGTATGAACTCAAATTTTGAAAATGTATAGAAACTTGCAGCATCAAGCTGTGTTTTCACTAAGATCCCTGCCACCTAGTAGAGAGGGATTGATGGGGCACCCTTGACAGCAAGTAAGAGAAATAACTTTCGTATTCATACCTCTATATGCTGAGATTTCTAAATAAAATGGTTATGAGAATATTTCAACCATTATAATGACCAAACTAAATCAACTACATCATGATTTGACAGCTTAGGTAAAAAGCATTTCTACAGGGATGAATATAAACAAATTGTGGATTCATTGATTCAATTTTGTTGAAAATACTTTTTTTTTTAATTGTGATTTGAGTGAAAGTTGACAGAGCAAATTCATTTTCCTTACAGCAGTTCATACACATTTTGTTTCATGACATTGACTACAATCCCCATAATGTAACAGCTGTCTTCCCAGTTCCTCCCTGTAGTTATCTCTTCCCTGTGTCTTTCTTCCCTATGCATTCCTGCCCCCTGAGCTATCTCCCTGTGCAAATAATGCTCTTCTGATCTCCCTTGATTGATTGTTCTAAGGAGTGTATACCTACATGGTGAAAATGTTCAAATGATATGCCAGTCTATTGTTAGGTTGGAAGCCACAGGAATGAATTCAATTCCAGGCTTGAAGGGTGACTAGGGGCCATAGTCTGGGGGTTTCACCAGTCTGTATCAGACCAGTAAGCCTGGTGTTTTTTATAGTTTTGAGTTTTTTTCTACATTTTTATCCCACTCTATGCAGAATCTCCTGCACTGATCCCTTTCCAAGTGATTGAAAGTGGTAGCTGGGCACCATCTAGTTCTTATGGTATGGTCATATAGGCTGAGATCTGAATGGTCCACTAGTCTCTTGGACTAATTGTTTCCATTGATCTTTGGGTTTCTTCATTTGAAGGTACTTTCTAATGCGTAACAACTTATGAACCTATGAGTTGCTAACTGAGAGCTATTCATGCTCAGAGGACCATGTTGGAACACAGAAATGATTCTTCAGAGTTTATTTTAGTTTCATAAAATTAATATCCAATGTAATAAAGTGAAAATCAAAATCCTAGATCTTCTGAATATTTTTATCAAAGAGCTCATAAAAAATCCTGATCAAAAGGAGAAAATGCAGAAAAGAATTTCAAATTCTTAGGGACTCCATACTTCCTAGAGCAATGAAGATTGAGTGAATCACTGAAACTATTGCCCTGAGCTACTCTTTAAACTTAAACCAAAAATATTCACTAACATCTTCAATGAGAATAGCAAAAATATCACCAACTGACTTGGAGAAACTATATGAAAGCTTGCCATCTACCTGAGGGTGGCTCTGGGTGAAAAAAAAAAAAAACAAAAAAAAAACTAATGAATTCTTCAAGCTAGTACTGCATGTGTGTGGAGTCCAAATTTACAGAACTACATGGTGTAGGTATCCTATACCAAGAATTCTCATGAAGATGATAAGTGTCTGGGACCCCAGGGAAGCAGATATAAAACTCTACTACAAGAGACTTCTGCCCACAAAGGAGCATTGTTATGGAAATTGCCCTCCCTTCATAAGAAACTAGAAAAACACATCATTAAAAAATTGGTAGATTAACATGGGATAGGTAAACAGGAATATACCCTAGACCAAGGATAGATTTGGCTGAAGATAATCCTACATATGCACTTGTGCTACAAAATTAGCCATATACATTACAGAATCAACAGAAGACAGAGTTGGAGTAACTTCTCAGAGACAACCAAACACTTTGAAAGAGAAATAATCACCGGGCCTGCAGACTCAGGACCACAGTGTAAGGTGACATCAAGCTCAATTGGCACAACACAGTACATAAAAATCTTGTTCTACAACCTAATTTTGTGAGTAGCGATTGGGGTCTTAAAAGATTTTGAGCGGCCATATAAGATGCAACTATTGGTCTCCTCTCATCTGAAGCCAAGAAGAGTGAAGAAAATCAAAGACATCTGGAAACAATTAGTTCAAGGATAAGATGGACCACAAAGACCTAGCCTTCATGACCCCAAGACGAGAATAACAAGATGGTGCCTGGCTACCAATGCCAACCACTCGTAAAGGGATCAAAACTGGAGATCCTGGACAGAATAGGAGGAAAAATGTGGAACAAAATTCAAAACCACAAAAATGACCAGAATTACTGGTGGGATAGAGATTGGTGGAGCCCCCAAAACTATGGCCCCAGGTTACCCTTCGGACCTGGAAATAGACTCACTTCCATGGATTGGAAAAAAAAAAAAATGGTTTGGGACATTAGATAACAGACAGCACAGGACTGTGTGCAGTGGGAGAAGGGGTAAAGGTGAATCAAGATCTGTGATTGCTCCAGTTCATGGCCCGAAGATTTTCAGCCTGCAATTCAGCCCAGGGAAGGCAAATAGAACCTATCTATCTTGTTTGGCTGTGAGATAGAAATTAAAGTTCCAGGAGGCTGAGGTGACCAGAATTTGTGGGAAGGAGTTCTAAAGAGAAGGCAGTTGTACCAACAGAGAGCTCTGGAGAGCTACAGAGGAGTCTTTAGCTGATTACTGTTCTGTGCATGCATGTGGAAGGAGCCACAGGAAAGCAGTAAGCAGAACAGTTGCTGGAGATCACATGGAGCTGGGAATAGCTGTCACTTCCACCAAGCAGAATGAAAATAAATAAATAAATAAACCTTAATACATGAAGCATTGTGTAGAGTTTCATTTGTGTAAAATTTCTCATCTTAGTTGGAAAAAAAAAAAAGAGTGCCATGAGTCAATTCCAACTCATAGCAACCCTATAGGACAGAGTAGAACTGCCCCATAGGGTTTCCAAGGCTATAAATCTTTATGGAAGCAGACTGCTTTATCTTTCTCCTGTGGAGCAGTTGGTGAATTTGAACCCCAAACCTTTTGGTTAGCAGTCAAATGCCCTAATCACTGCATCATCAGAGCTCCTTCTCATCTTAGTACTGAGGCTAAATTAGTGTTAGACCCAAAGCTTCTCCAACCAAGCTTAAATGCAAGCCTCAAAAGTATCAAACATCTACAAAAGCATAATGATGTGTCAGAACAAAGTGCAACACACTTTAAATGAATAAATTATCCCACAGTATAAAATTCACAATAGCTGGTATTCAATAAAAAAAATTAGCAGGCATATCAAGAAGGAGGAAAATATGACCAGTAGCCAGGAGAAAAATAATAAGACAAATTCAGAAATTACAAAGATGATAGAATTAGCAGACAAAGACTTTGAAACACCTGTAATCCCTATATACCATATATTTAAGGAGCCAGATGAAAGACTGAATATATT